GAACTAAACTAGATAATTGGAAAGAAAACAAATGGTTTTACACTTTGTAGTGTTCAAATTGATGTTTTTGGAGAAAATGTACTTATATAAGTATATTTTGAACATTAAAGTGTCACATTTTTATATTGTACGTCATGGTGCATTCATGATCATAGATATATTTATGTTGTTATTGTTTAGGAAAAGTATCACATTTTTATATTGTACGTCATGGTGCATTCATGATCATAGATATATTTATGTTGTTATTGTTTAGGATTATGTTGGGATCTGTACTGGACTTTATGTTCATCCCACATTGCTAATACTTTTTCAGGAGCAAATTGAGAGATAATTTAAGATCAGTGATCTTCCTTAAATTGTTGGCCACGGGGCCTATACTTGTTGGTAGAATGCCATTGTTGTAAAAGGGTTGAACTCTTACTTTAATGTAAAGATGTAAGCCTATGGGCATTTTGTTTAAATGTAATTCCTGTTGCATTCCATATATGTACGATATATTGAGAGAAATTTCATTTATTATGGATGTAATGTATATATAGTTTCGAATATTTTTAATAGAAATGGAATTATTTTAATGGATATGGTAAAGTCATTCGGGTAATAAAAAGTGGGGTGTGATAATACAATATATAATTATTTGATCTAAGTAGGCTCACCTACAGAAAATTCCTTACAATAAATTCATAGATTAAACTCATGAAACATTTAAAACAAAAAATCGTAACGATGAAATATATGAATACGTGGTATCTAACTTGGCCTACATGCATAATATGCAACCCAAACTAATGATACAATGCAAATACGCCATAATCTTGACAAAATAATAGTAAAATATTTTATTTTACACGAAAATATATACATGAATACTACCCTAACTATTATCAACTAAATTGAATATGATTGAAAATAATAAATAAAAGAGAAAAGGAAGACTAATTGTTGGTTTGTTGAGTCAAACCAAAGAAAACACTAGAAACTAGCAAAGAATGGTGGCTTGGATGTTTCCCTCAAGTCTTGGGAAGTGTTTTGCTTGATTTGCTGTGATGTCTCGGGTCCTTGACTTGACTTGATTGTGCCATCTTGGACTTATTGAGTGGCCTTCGAAAAGTTGCGTGTCGTGTAATGTGTTGTAACTATGATTTGAACCATGTCTAACCTTCTTTATCATTTTATGAGTTAGAAATTTTTGAGTTTTGGGTATAAGGACAAAAAACAAAAGCTTGGAATCACCTCGGAAAGTCTTGTACTAGAACAGGTAGCCCTGTACGTGCGGATTAGTGCAGGAGAATTTTGGAGTTCAAGGCTTGGTCTCGCACGTGTAAGGACTAAAGCTGCACGTGCGGAATGGGGGTTACATGTGTGGGAAGTTAGGCTGAATGTGTGGTAAGGGTGAGCAATTGAGTTTTGGGCCTACAACAAAAACACATGCGGCCAGGTCTGACTCGGCCTTGAATTTTGAGCTTTTTAGCCCTTTTCTTGACTCATCTCCCTTTTTTCCCTCATTTCATTATATATCTATCTCTCTAAACTTTTTCTTTCTCTTTCTTCTCTCTACAACCACTGTTTTTCTTCCTTTTCTCTTCAATCTGCCAAAATCTATTGAGTTTTAGATAGTAGTTCTTAAGACCAAAACGACGAACGTGTCGATGACTACATTTTGAGCAATGGAGATCAATTTCCAACGAGTTCAAATTTGGGGGGTTTTGAGCTTGGTTCTCTTCTTCTTTTCAAGAGGTGAGAATTTCTTTGATTTTTTTTACAGTAACTGTTATACATGGATATGTGGTAGTTTCATTACATAAATTTTAGAGATTTTCAAAGCATGTGATATATAAGTTAAGGCTAGTGTTGTGTTTGATATTTATTAAGTATTTCATCATGTATTGTGATTTATGTAAGATTTTATAACATATGGCAAGCTTGGAATGGAAAAGCCCTAAAATTCTTACAGAGAAACCCTAATATTCTTGGAACCATGTGATTTTGGAAAAATAGAGAGTTGTTGAATCATTTGAGAAAATTGAAATTGAAATTTTATTCATTGAGAAAATGATAAGTATAGAGAGTTCAAGTTTTACATGAAATTGTTGAAGTTTATAATAAATTAGAGAAATTAGAAAATAATGTAAATTGATAAATGGTCAGAAATACCTATCTATATGTGTTGGATTTTATGATTTAACTTGGCAATTTTGGATATGTTGATTTATGGAAGGTTTGAAGCATGTTGATACATTAAAATGAAAAGCCTTAATTTTCTTTTAGAATGGTATGAATTGGGAAAATTTGAGATTTATAATCACTTAAGAGGATTGAATTTAATTCTGTCAATAGATGGGACAATGATGAGTGTCAAGGAATTATAAATTGGGCAAGTAATGAGAATTGCAAATGGTTTAAAGAATATTGTAAAAGATGTGTGGTTGATCAAATTTATATGTTGAATGTTATTTTTATTAAAATAAATTGTGTAAAGATATTTGTTTGACAATCGGTAAAGGATTGCATTGTTTGTTGTAGAATTGATGTGGAACTACGTGAATCAAACCCTTAGAGCATCTCCAATGGTTTGCCATTGGAGATGCCAAAGCCATTTTATAGCAGGTGTTAGTGAAAAGTGTTCTCCAATGGCAAGTTTCGGCAGCTGCTGTGTAACGCCCCAAATTTCTAGCCCAAATGATAAGACAACAATCATGGCTCTTTCAAGGAAAACCATATATAAATCTCCAAACTTACATTACATGATACAATAGTTCTTCGTGCAACAATACATTAATCCAACAAGTAAATAAACAAGTAAACACCCCTAAGGGTTTACAAGTTTCCAAGGCTTGAGCCTGGTTACGCAAAACGATTATTCAAACCCACACAAACACAGCCCTTGGCTTACACACAGAGTCACAGCAAAATGAGAGCATTGTACTCCCAACACACATACTTCCATGCCTCTAGTTTGGTGGGATCACCACATCTTTTCCTGTACAAAAATCTCTCAGGTGAGCATAAAGCCTAGTAGGAAATTCTAGCAAAGTATATACATTTTATACAAGTCTCAAGAGATGAAATGCACATGCCATGCTATGCGCTTTTTGAAGATAAATCACATTTTCATCTTTTGAAAACCATCATGCTCAATGATATCATGCAATTTCAATTGTTCAAAACTTAACAATTTATTTCAAGGGCGGTAAATACGACTCTGCCCTAGGTCGGTGACTGCAAGTAGACTATACAAGTACTACCAAATTGTCATTTTTACTGGTATTAACCGGAAGGCTCGACACCTATCCGCGCGGATTTTCGGTCTTTCACCTCAGACTCTCAGGTCAACTTATTCAATATCATCTACACCACCTATCAAGACTTACCAACGTATTTACCCCAAAACCATTCCATGAAAACTTGTTTCTCAACATTCTTTTCTCAATGCAAGTTTTCAAATCAAACTTTTAAAGTTTAATGTAATCAAATGAATTGATATGCCAATTTCACAAGATGAATATAAATACTTTTATTCCAATTCATCATCCAAGGAATAACACAATTCCCTCTTCTCAAGTATCCTCAACAATTAGTCATTTCAAGACTATTTCAACGTTTTGAACAATAATTTCCAAAATGAACAATAATTATCATATTCCCTAAAATTCATCATTTATATAAATATAAATAAGAAATTTTCCAAACATCCATTTATTTTAACACACAAAATAATATAACAATATCATTCATGGGTTTTCAGTCTCTTTAAATTTTTTTTTTCAAATTCTAGGTTTTCTCATCAAAACTATACAACTCAAATCTTTCGAAAGAAAATTTCCAAAATCATCTTTTCTTCAATCAATGAAGATCAAAACCCATAAGATCATTTTAAAAGAACAAGAGACAAACCCACTTTCAAAATCGCTCAACTTCTTGAATCAACAATCAATTTTCAAAGCTATTGAAAGATGATTTCAAAAATCATATAGATCTTACAAAAATATATATAACTCTAAGAAAATCCCTACCTCAAGTTTTGAAGAAGAAATGATATGAAACCCTCAAAATCAACGGTGTCGAAACTCGATCTTCACTGCACACAACGAAGCCCTCGAGAAGTTAACCAACTTTGATGAAGAACTTATGGCAGAACTCCAATGGGTCAAGAGAAATCAAGGTTTTGATCCAATTTGGCGTAGGGAAATGTAGAGAGAAGAGAGAGGAAAGGGTTTTTAGAGAGAGATATACAAAAGTGATCTAAAATATCAGATTCATGAACTGATATAATATGGTCTGCTCAAGCGTGAAAAGCCCCGCTGGAGCGTCAAATACACTTTCCCAGTACTTTTGCAGATAGGTCAAACTTCTGGAACCAAACATTCTCTGCTCGAGCGCATAAATGGTCGCTCGAGTGAACAAGCAACTTCTAATGCATTTTACATTTTTGCTTCGGGGGCGCTATCCCTCAACCTCGCCAAGGCGCTGCCCTAGGACCCGCCAAGGGGCGTTGCCCCTTAGACCCTCGCGAGCTGACCGGGAAGCTCGATCCCCGCCAGGGCACTGCCCTTGGACCCGCCAAAGGGCATTGCCCCCTGGACCCCCGCGAGCTGACCGGGCAGCTCGATCCCCGACATACTCAGCGAAGTGGAAAAACTGGGATCGCTACATGCTATCTTTGTCAAATGCCAAAACTTGTGTCAAATATGGCATAAGCTTTAGTAGCTGCCAAAGTTGCCAAGTCACCAAAACCAATCGTTTCCCCCTCCCTGCCTCCCTTATCATCCTTCCTAGCAAGTATTTTCCAAAACAAAAGCAAACATTCACCCAAAAAAAAAAAAAATTTCTAAAGCTAAAAATTTCAGAATCAATAAATCAATCTGAAGCGAAAAAAAAAAAAATTGAATTTCAGAATTTCAAGTAATATGAATGAATCAATTTCAACAATTTCAAGTAATGAATTTCAAAAAAAAAAAAAAAAATAAATTGAATTTGAGCAAGATAATATCATAAAAAATATCTGCAATTTGAAAAGGAATTTGGCTTCATCTTCTTCATCATCATCATCGTCATCAACAACAACAAAAAAAAAACCCCCTCAAATCTGATGATATATATACCTATAAAGACAAAGAACAGAGATAAGAGTATTCAAATTAATTAAACTCAAAACTAAACATGATATGCATATAGATACATTATATATATATATATATCATACATATATATGTATGTATAATTAAGCCATAATATATATATATATATATATAAGAAATCATTTTCAAATAAATCAAATTCAAAATTTATCATTGTGTTTGTTGAAGTTTTAAAAACAAACTCCTTAGTTATGGAAAACTAATAAAAACGAACATGGGAGACTCCTAATTTTCTTGGTATTTCATGAAATTGAGCTTTGACTCGCCGGAGGAGCTAAATCGACGGCCACGCGGTCTTCTTTGTGCGTTCCGACACAAAAACCACTATCATCTCATGCGTGTGGGTCAGATCTGAGCTGATATAAATTTTCTCTATTTTAGATTGAGAAAAAACTACATAAATCCACAACGACGAAAGGAGGTTTGTGTAGCTTGCAGAGGCGTGAGATCAGGAAGCTTCCATATCTAAGAGAGAAAGAGAGAGAGAGAGAGAGAGTTTGAGGAAGAATGGCTTGGTTAGGGTTTGATTTGGAAGATCTGAGGAGAGGAGAGGAGAGGAGAGGAGAGGAGAAAAGAGGAGAGAGAGATGAAGACTGGTGAGAGGAGTGAAGAGAGAGCAGAGAGATAGATATAGAGAGAGCTTGGTGTCATAGACAGACTTGGGAGATGATTGTTCTAGAGGGTAGATAGATAGATAGATAGATAGATATTGGAATGCACATGGATTGTTCTAGATAGATAGATAGATGAGCCGTTGGATTATATAATCCAACGGTGCAATTTTGTTGGAATGCACATGGGTTTGAGCAGCGACTCTTTTTCTTTCTCTTTCAAAGAACAACTATAAATTAATGGTCATTTTCTACAAACGATAATATTTTGTATTTCTATAAATAAAAACTCTTAATCTCAATTTCATTTCACACCAAGCATTTCAAATTTCAATTTTCTTTTCTCTTCTCTTCATCTGAATTTCATTTCACACCAAACTTTACAAATTATTTTCTTCTTAGTTTTTTCACACAATCATTATGGAAGGTTCATCAAAAATAAAGAGAGAAAAATCATTCACCACTCAAGAAGATGTGACAATTTATAGAGCTTTGTGTTACATTACTGAAGACCCAATTATTGGGAATTCACAACCTCATGCTCATTTTGGGGGAAGAATTTTTGAAAATTATTGTTCATTGCAGAATGATCACTTAAGAACGTAAGTGTCTATCTCATCTCGATGGGGTGTAATCATGAAACGTTGCAACAAATTTCGTGGGTGTTTAGCGCAAGTCGAAAATCTACACCCAAGTGGGATGTCTCAAGTTGATATAGTAAGATTTCATCTTCATTTATTATGTTAGTTTATTTTTATTTTTATTTTGTCTTATATAAAATTTAACTAATTAATTAATTTAATATTTTATTGATACAAATGCTTCAAGCAAAATTCAGTTCCGTTTCGTAGCTCGAAACTTTGTGGCCCGACACCAAAACGACGTCGTTTTGGTGTCTTCTTCTATTTATTTTTTTTTTCTTTTTTTCCTTTCTTCGCGTTTTTCTGAAGAAGTCCACAAAGACCCAAAATTTTTTCATCTTCATCAATATATCATCACAAATTTTCAGATTATGAACATCTTCATCAACATCATCACAAATCTGGAAAATCTGGAAAATCACCCACACAAATCAAACCCAAACCCATACACACACACAATTTTTCTGCGTTTTTCTGATGAAGAGGAAGAAGAAAAGGCAGAAGAAGAAGAAAAAAAAATGCTGAGAAAACAGATTTGGCCGATCAAAAAAAATATATGATCTTCCTACCTTCAGATCTGGATCTTCACGAACACATCTTCATCAACAATTTTTTTTTAAAAAAATTTCAGATCCAGAAAAAAAAAAAAAAAAAAAAAAAAAAAAAGAGAGAAGAAGAAGAAGTAAAGAAAAGAAAGAAGATTCATAGATTGGTGACTTTGATCTAATCATCTCTTGGAGGTAAGATTTGTTTTTATGGTACTCCTAACTATTTCTTTAGACATAGTATCTTGTATGTTGATTGGGTGTATGTATTTTGGGGTTTTGGAATTTACTTGTAGACTATAGGATTAGATTAGTACATTATAAAGAAAAGAATGATAGATGCATCATGGTGATCAATACGACGGCGACGTTTTGATTTCGAGCCATTTTCGAGCCTTGAGGTTTCAAGCTACCAGCCATTTCTTAGCAAAATTATTATACCATCAAGATGAAAACAAATATTTTATTTTTGAACATTGTTGGTCAATCTTGCAAAACAATATCAGGTGGCAAGATTAAGCTCCTATGAACACGGTGAAGTCAAGGATACATATACCGTTTTCTCTTGATTCAGCCCCCAATTCTCCTACGAATAACTGTATTTCTCTTGAAGATGACACCAGTCCAAGTGTTGGTAACAATCCAACTGTTGGTGATGGCAGTGTCTCTGTAAGGGGTAAAAGACCTATGGGTAGGAAAGCTTCAAAAGAATTATTTCGGAGAAATCAAGTCGTTGAAGTTGAAGTCCAAAAAATAAGCATACAATTGGAGACATTTAACCAACACCTTACTGAGAAGGAAAAGAAAAAAGATGAAAGAGAAAAAAAAGGATTCAAGCACTGCAGGGAATGAAAGAACTTAAGATCAGAAAACAAGAACATGAGATAATGACTACGGACATTTCTCTTTTGGACCCTCAGACGAAAGCGTATTACACAATGCAAAAAAATGAGATATTTGCCAAGTGGTCCTCAAATGTCAGTAGCCCAAATTACTATTTCCCCATGCCTCCTGATGAATAATTACGGGATAATGTATTTTTTTGCAATGTCATTTATTTTTTTCATGTAATTGTTAGTCTTTATTTACAATGTCATTTTTTTTTATTTTGTAATGAAATTTCTTTTCTTTTTGTATTTTTGAGTTTTTTCTACAACAGAATGGTAATATTATTTTTGCAATGTATAATGTTGACTATTTTTGAAATGAAGGCAATAAAAAGATTAAATACATTTTTTTCATTAAATATATTTTTTTTCCAATTTTTTTCAATTTTTATATTTGTCTAGTTGGGAATAATATAAATATATAATTTTTTTTACAAACAGTTAAAAAAAAATCACAAAAGACAAAAAATAAACAAAAATAAAATTACAAAAAAACTTGTATCCAAACAACACATACAAACTTAGAGGGAAAGTTAATTGGGATTTGCTAAAATAGCAAATGACCATTGGAGCACCATTGCTATAATTTGGCAAAATAGCACTATTTATTACCAAATTATAGCAATAGCAATGGCAATATAGCAACAACCATTGGAGATGCTCTTATGTGTTATGTAGTTTTGATTATTTAATTACGCAATTGATGTGGTATGTGATGAGAGTGCTATATAGAGGTCCCAATTTCCTTCCAGTTAGCAGCCAATAAAGTGGTTACGCTTTGAATGAGAGGTACAAATTTCCTTCCAGTTAGCGCCTGGTAAAGTGGGATACACTTCGAATGAGAGGTACCAATTTCTTTCTAGCTAGCGTTTGGTAAAGTGATGCGTTTCTAATGAAGTTCCTTCCAGGTAATGCCTGGTAAAGAGGATGGTTATGGCTTGACGAAGCCGGATTGTGTTATGTGAGAATTTTGTTGTTTATATATGTGTATGTGTTGTAGTCCCTTTTACCCCTACGCTTATGACCAGAAAATATGGGAAATGTCTTAATAGAGTATTGTGAATTGGAATGGTAGTTGAAGTTCGTGTGAGTTGTATGATGTGATAGATGGTTGTAAGCTATTTATAATTTATGTGAAATCGCTACTGTTTAATTGTAGTATGGTTGTTGTCATGGCTTTAATTGATTTACCTTAGGGAAACGGGAAATATTTTAACAAATGATTTTCAAATGTTGGAAAGTGATGAAATCTCTTTAAGTTATTGAAGATGAAATGGAAAGTTAAGGACATTGGTCCCTTTTAAAATATTAAAGAACTAATATTTTATTTTTTAAGGAAAAGTATACCTATGTATCTGCATATTTTGGATATGAAAAGAGAACATTACTTATATATGTAACATATGGAGCATTCATGATCATATACATGTCTAGGCTGTATTAATAATAATTATTGGGACCCCTATTGGATGTTATGTTCATCCTACATTGTTAAACCTTTTTCAGATGCAGGCACGAAGGACTTCACTTGGGTTGAGAAGTTTGTCTCATGTTTTCGGTCACAAGGTTTCTTTTGTGTAGGTTGAATGCCATTGTATTTGTCATGGGTTAAGCCCCTTTTATTTATGTAAATTGTATGCCTAAGGGCATTTCTTCAATTGTAATTAAATGCTTCATCATTATATATGTGAGAGAGAATATTTATTGATTATTTAAGTGAATGATTGTAGCTTCTGCTTTATGATTATGGAAATAGACCCTAATAAGGAATATGGTAATGGCATTCGAGTAATAAAATTTGGGATGTTACATTTTCTTTGACTTAGAGTATTTTAAGCATTGCCTAGCTTGTTTTATATGCGAATATGTACGTGTATTTTTGGATTTGTATGTGCCAGGGAGTAAAATTGGCAGATGTTGGCTGTGTTGAGTTCTCTCTCTCCAAAAGGAGGAAGGTAGGCGGTATATATAGGCCTAGGAGCCTTAGGGAGCAAATTTATGCATATTAGGGCTAAAATTAATGAGTATACACTTTATCTTGTAGTGCCTCTCTTCTAATAAGGCAATAAGATCTTCCGAAATCAAATATGCAAATATTGAGATCCTTATGCGGCCACACTTTTGCATGTACGACTACACAAAGGTTATGCAGTCGCACAACATAAATTGTGTGGCCGTAAACCTATAATTTGGGTGCAAGTGGAATCTATGGGTAGACCAAAGATATGTGGTCTTAAGTAGAAAAGCTTGCGAGCCTACTATGATTTTGGGTCCACACTTCAATTCTTGGATTCTCTTGTTACACAAGAAAGCCCCATTAAACCCCAATTGACATTTTGGATCATAAGTTTGGCTATTGTTTGTAAAATTTGTCAACTTAATTTTAATTGGGTCTCTGTCCTCCTCATCTTTCCAAAAGATACTAAAATGATAGATGTTTTGATGGAAAATGGTTTTTGGGAATAAAAAGTGGTTGAACGAGCCGAATAGTGGCCCAGACATACTTATTCATCAAAGTGTACTATTTTTATCATTAGGAAGCATCCAAATGTTTAGGTCTTAAGGTCAGTCAAAATGAGATGTTTATAGTTGGCGCTACTTACTATCTCTACTATAAATTGCCGTATCAAATCTATCATCGACGACCACCATCTTCACCATCAACCTCCATCGTCATAGATCTGGTATTAACAAACTCAGATATGAGACTAACGACCATAGATCTGTTAGACAAAGGCCATTTGAGTTGTCCATTCCGTTTTTGTAGCAAACAAGAAAATTTTACTATCAACATGGAGTAAAATTTTACTCTAGAAATGTTTTGATAATTTTTTTATTTAATATTTCTACTAGCAATGGTAAAATCATGTACTTTTCATTTTTCACTAGCTAAAATACCAAAAAAAAAAAAAGTAATTCTTCTTTATTTTATCTATTTATACACACAAGTTGTTTAAAGAGCCTCTTAAGACCCTTCAAATGTAACTAGTCTTGAAGAATTTTGTTAAAATAGCTATTGTAATAGCTAGCTTATTGAAGTGACTAAAATATGATAATGTTAACTATAACAAGCCTCATTTAAAGAGTCACTTGAAAATGCTCTAAGTGTGTTGATTGGTGATGTTGAAACGATGTCGAAATTTTTTATCATTTAAATGTTAAATTCATATAGGAAAATTTTACTGTCATTGACACAGTAAAATTCCATTGTCATTGATACAGTAAAATTTTGTTATTATAATAGAGTAAATTTTTATTGTCTATAAAATAGTGAGGTTTAAATAAATTTTTTTGTTATTTGCTAAGTGGTGGTTATAGGGTAGTGGTGGTGGTGGTGGTTGTCATTGAAAAATGGCCGTTGGAGATTCATTTGAAAAATGGTGGCCAGTGATCAATGGTCAGAAAGCAATCTTCGACGACCGCTAAAGGTAGTGGTCATTGGTGGCTAGTCACTGGCGGTGGTGGTAGCCTAAGATGGTGGGGGAAGAAACTAGTAAAACTTCGAGTATTTTTGTCATATTTTAATGATATTATGATATTTGTCCTTAATGAATAAAAACATTTTAGCTTATCCTTTTTGCAAGAAAAGTTGAGTGACCTTTCACCAAAAGCCCAAAATGCCAAGTATTTTTTTATTTTAATGTTAATTCTACTTTAACAAATTTAGTTTTAATAAATTTTTGAAAAATATAATAAAATAACTTCCCACGCGGAGGTTTCAACATGCGAATGACATATCATTTGGTGCCCATCTGTTTTTTTGATCCAATTTCCAGCATCTCGCATCCCCAAGGATCAAATATTGCTGGTTCCTGCCTAGATGGTCGGATATTGACAGTGCCCACATCTACAAGAGAAGTGTGGATTTTTCGTGATCAAAATGAGTTGTGCTTGCAAAGTGACACAGGTACCAAGCACTTCAACCTTGGGATGAAAATAAAATAAACTAAGTGCTTATAATCACGACATATGGTGTATTTAGGCTCATTGAACTCAAGAATTCTGAGGTACGTGAAGGCTTCTCCTAAAAAGGGTCTCTATTTTTCAAAACATAAACATCTCAGTGTGAAGGCATTTACTAATGCGGATTGAGTTGGATCAATCACTAACAAACGATTACTTTCTAGATATTGCACATTTGTTGAAGGCAATCTCGTCACATGGAGAAGTAAGAAACATAATTTGGTTACTACATCTAGATAGATGGCATTAGATATGGAATAATAAATGATATAGTTTGGGTTTTGAGAACGAATTTTGTACAATGGAAATTGAATTTGGTGGACAGTTAAAAAGTAGTAAATTTACAATATGTTACTTTCCATCCCCTACTCAACAACTCATTCTAAAAGAGGAGGTCGGTGTACTTTCAAACACTAGATGGCAAATCTATACATTTGTCAGAAACCTTAAGGAGGACTCTGCCTTATTAACCCTTTATTTATTTATTTCAAGCAAAATTTTTTTAAATGGTTGAAAACATCCATCCTTTTCATATTGGTGCAAAAACAATTTTTAAAAATTCAAAATTAACTTACAACTGTTTCCTAAAAAATGAAATGTCTACAAAAAATATTTCCAATATTTGTTTGTCAAATAGGTTTTCTTTTTTCCAATTTTGTCTAAAAACAAAAACAAAAACCACACCAAAACCAAATTTAGGACTGAACTTTGAATGAAAAGGGAAAAATTGGTGCAAAGAAACATTATGCATTTTTGGTATCTGCCAGGTATTACTTCTAAATTAAAAAATGAAAATAAGTATTGGTGATGGTATTAATATTGGTACACCAAGGTCAGCGGTCTGTGATTGGGACTAATCAGAGAGTTGATCGCAGAAAAAAGAAAAGAAAAATGTATACATACTGAGGATGATTGTTGCATAACAAAATTTCATAAGCTTGCATAAACAAACACTTGTTAGCACGCATAATTAAACATACATTCGAAAAATACCAAAAAAACTACAAATCATAACCATGCAGATTTCTTATTGTTTGATTGGATTCTAAAGATCATCATTAAGAATTGACTACAAATATATGTACAAACTATAGATTTTTATTTGTTTATTTTATTATTATTTTTTTCTTCACTAGAATAGAGCAGTGGTTCTCTTCACATCGAGAACAAGGAGATGGGAGGGACCAAACAAAAACTAAGCGATGCCAATGGTGCAAAGAAACATTATGCATTTTTAGATTTTCTTATTGTTTGATTGGATTCTAAAGATCACCATTAAGAATTGACTACAAATATATGTACAAACTATATATTTTTATTTATTTATTTTATTATTATTTTTTTCTTCACTAGAATAGAGCAGTGGTTCTCTTCACATCGAGAACAAGGAGATGGGAGGGACCAAACAAAAACTAAGCGATGCCAAAATTTGCAAGGCTATACAACCTTCATACCAACTATCTTGTAAGTAAACGATATAAAAATGTAGCTTAATTAACCTAATTTTAAAGACAAAATGGCTTCACATCAGCTCTGAGAGAGCAGTGACTAAGCTTCGCCTATAGGAGAGAGGAGAAAATAAAGTACAGAGAGTTGAGGAAGAGAAAGAACCATTTGTACAGAGATGACAAGCCTTCACATGAAGTAACTGAGAGCCTTCTTCCTTCTAGAACCCCCTTCGCCATAGAGTTCATTCCACTGTAAGAGCTCCGTCATGTTTATAGATTCAGATGAAACGCTTGCACAAACCTAGTATGGTAATGGGTAAGAAGGCGAGTTCAAAAATAAAATAAAATAAATAAAACTGAAATAATATAAGATGATTGAGTGAATTATAAATCATATGTAATCTTCAGTTGTTTCCTCTTTACCTGTTCGTGAGCATGTTTGAAGTCGTCCATGTTTAAAGGACGGATATCAGCACTGCCACTCAATGCTGGAGCGGGTTTACCTTCTGATAGTGCTGCAGCTCGCTCCTGTCAAATTTTCAGTGTTCATTTTAATTATTTCCCAGCCAGAAATAAAATGGAAAACACATTGTTGAGGACAACAATCACCAAACATTTGGGCAGTAAATATGATTATGGCACAAGTGTAATTTCAGTTGTTACTATACACAAATGATATCATTCTATTTCCAATTCAATAAGCTGCTCATTCATTAACCGAAAGAAACAAACCTTCTTTTCCTTTTCCAAAATCTCTCTAATTGGGCAATGGGCAGCGGTTACACATAGGTTCTGCAATGTAAAAAATTTACTTTTGAGTGTGGCAGAAACACAGCACACATCAACAATAATAAGAGTTCATGTTATGCGAGGAAAAAAAGAGACCAAAAGCTACCTTAAGGTCACTTCCAGAATATCCCCCTGTCATACTTGCAATTGAATCCCAATCAACATTGGGAGACAAATCCTCTTTGGCTAGGATCACTTTCAATATCTTTCCTCTATTTGGAGCATCCGGCAGGTTGACCATCAATCTATTTGAAAAACACACGTCACAACCTAAAAAACTCCCAAATGCAGGGGCAAAGATAAGTCAGCATTTTAATTTTTGGGCCCATTTTGAACTGTGGTTTTACCTACGCGGCAGCCTTCGGATAACAGCCTCATCAAGATCAAATGGCCTGTTTGTAGCTGCAAGTACCAGAACTCGTTCTGTATCTTTTGTTCGCAAGCCATCCCAGTTCATCATAAATTCATTTTTCATCTTACGCATGGCCTCATGTTCCCCTGGATTTTCGCTCAGGCCCAACATGCTATCAACCTTTAGAAAAAAAAAGACAAGCAAAAGGATTCAATAAGTTGACGCAAATCAAAATCCAAAATATTAAGGCTGTGTTTAGATCAAAGATTTGGATAGGGATGTTCAAAGAAAAAAGAAAAAGGCAAAGCAAGTGGAGGAAAAAATTAGCTTATGCTTCATTCACATTTCTCTCGGCTTTTCCTTTCCCTTTCCGAATTCCTATCTAAATCCATAAATCATGATCCGAACACGGCCTAAAGGAGTCATAAGCAGAGCATACTTCGTCAACAAATACAACACTAGGGGCAATTTTACTAGCTAGTGAGAAGACAGCTTTCACATATTTTTCACCCTCGCCAAACCACTGCAGTAAGATGGGGACAGAAGTAAGTTGAAAACTAGTAGGTGAAATCATCAAAGAGATATAACCATAGTTAATAGAATCTCCTGATCAATATTAACCTTAGATGTGATGCTTGACATAGAAATATTGATGAAGTTTGCAGCAGCTTCAGTGGCCACAGCCTTTGCAAGCATTGTCTTTCCAGTTCCAGGGGGCCCAAATAAAAGAATACCCTTGCATGGCTGTAAATCAAAGCATCAGAATTACATACTCTTGGTGACTCATAAAATCATCTCTAAAAAAACCAACAGAAAGGAAGTGCCAAAATCTGGTAAGGGCAAAAAACACAATATACCAGACATGAATCATAAAACCATGGGCGCACACACACACACACACACACAGATCTTTATATGCCAGTTTTAGAATAATTATATACTCTATAGACTACTTCAAAGCATATGGTATCAATAAGCAATTAGAGTGTCGTGTTCATGCATGAAAATGTGCGGTGCCTGACTCCAAACATAGGTCAACAATACCCATTCAGCAGAAACACATCAAAAAATGATGTTTACAGGCATATGGTCAACAAAAGCATTTGCACCAGAACAGAGAAAAATAAAAAAATAGTACAATAAATTAGATAACCAACCATATTTTGTCAAAGAATCATTGATTGAAAGAGAAAAAGCTGGTGATTTCAAACAAGTGTACATTTATAATTTATTTTATTTTATTTTTTAATAATCTCATCCGCACCGTAGACTACAGAAAACATTTTAACCAAAACTACATGACGCATACGAACACCACAATTTGTTATAGCCTAAACTATTCTTCAGCTAAGGCAACCATTATCAACGCTGAAAAAAGGAGAGATGTGAAAACCTTTGTTAATTGACCCTTGCAAAAAAGCTCAGGCCTCTGTAAAGGGAGCATCACCAACTCCTTTAGTGTATCCTTGACATTTTCAAGAGCTCCGATATCATCAAAAGTCAGTCCAATGTCACTGGGTGGAATAACATCAGCTAAAAGCCTTTTCTCAAATTCATTTTCTGTCACGACATCCTGAGATTAAGCCCAAAAATTTAATTAATATGAAACCCTAGAAAAGAAATTAAGAAAAACCTGAATTTCCTTTATATTTATGCATGTATAAACAAAATTTTATAAACATACTTCTGGACTTCACAATCCAAAAATAATACCTTTAGCGACTTCTTCAAGCTCTTGGATTCATTCTGGATAGCCTGTAAAATTCCAATCCCATACTGGATGCTGCCAGAATTGCAATATGTCAGTATCAAATACATAGTAACAAATACTCCAATTTACACTGGCAAGATCTCTATTACCTCTCACTAGACAAAACAAGCCTTCCATCAGCATCAGCTTTGGGGTTCTGCATTAAATGGTGGCTCAAAGCCCACCCAATTGCCTTCTCTGCACCTTCAATACATGCCAATACATAATTTTACCAAGTTATTGTTTATTCAGGAATTATTCATTTATAAGGGCAATACTGGATTTCCTTGTGTGACAAAAACCAAAACGTACTTTCATTTGTAAGTGTTTGGTTCTTGATGGACAATGTCTCAAATCCATCACATTCCAACCCAATCCGATTCAGGACCTATGCAAGACAAAAACAGCAGATTATAAATGTGAATCATTTCTAAATGTGACATCTTTAAGCATCAAACCTTCAAGAAAATACCCTACACTATAAAACAAAGTATGAAATTTTTTATCATGCTTAGAGCCTGGGCATTCCTAGATTCCTTTTTTGCCTTTTGCCAAGACATAGATACATAGAATTTACCATAAACCTACCACCACTACCACCTCACCTACTCCACTAAACCTAACCCACTACACCACTACCACCTCCACTTCACCTACTCTCCACCTACTCCCAAACACACTCCTATATAATAGGAATCCTTGTAATTGTAATAACACTACATCAAGATAATCAATCAATACAAAACAATCAATAATACATCAATTTATTTTACACAATACAATGCCAAAAGGTCTTTCTTTTTTTTCCCTTTAATAAACAGCATGACAATGATGTCAACACTGATGTGTTGCATTTCACGATATTTTGAAACTTAAATGCCCAAGAAGTTAAAAATCAAAGACAACATCAATTGGAAAATTAAGTTTAAAGGTCTTCAAGTTAACTATAAGTTGGAATTCTATAAAGTTCGAGGAATTAGACTGAAGTCAATGTCCCATTTCATGGAGTAAATTTAGGTGTATTAGTATAAAACTAAACATTCAAAGACTTAACCATTTGGAGCAAGACTAGAAAGTTTAATAAGTTTGTGGAGGAAACTTGAAACTCCATCCATAAAGCAAACATATACACTAATTTGATAATGTTAAAAAACAAGACGACTTCATAATACTCAATAATCTAGTTATAAAAGAATTGCTCACCGTACACAGATGATTCAGATTTCCCTTCATTTTAAGAGTCTCAGCATCTCTATCCAATTGATGCTTCCAGCTCACAAGAAGTCCCTCATCCTGCAATGGCTTATAACCTACTATTACATATTGTAAAAAACACAAGCCAACTGATTTTCCCAGAACAGCAAGGACATACCTGTGGCATGTGAATGGTTACTTTATTGGGGAAAAGTTTTGTCAGCTTTGTTTCCTTGGGAACCGCCTTCCCCTTCTCATGCAGTCTCCCAAAACTATCCTGAGAAAACAAACTACAATAATATCAAGTCTCTGACCCTCTGCAAATGGAAGCTAAGACAAGCACAAGCAGCAGGAGAACCAGTTCAATCAAACATAATGAAAAAATGTCAAACCAAATGCCTTATGTACTCTGACTCATTTAGGGAAGACATTACAAAGAATGCCTACGATCAGAAAACTTACAGAATCAAAAACCCAGCCAAAAAAACAAAAAAAAAAAAAACTATAGAATCAAAAACTACAAAAAGATAATATATATATATATATTGAAGGGAGAGTAGATTATCACTTCTAGGTGAACTTTAATTAAACATCACCGAAACAAGATTGTTTGTTAGCAGAACTGCAGACATGAATGTAATCAACTTGAGTATATATGTGCCTTATGCACCTCTCCTCTATATCCTCTCTCTTACTCATCCCAGACACTCACGAACTAACTACATTAACCAGAATGGGAAGCTGAAGTGGGAGATGAAAGTGAAAAATGGCTTAGGAAAAGACAGAAAAGATGAAGTAGGGAATGATCCGGAATCAAATGGGAAGCTCTTGGGGAAATGTGCTGAAAAACATTTTAAAAACTAGTACTACCACAAGGAAAAGATCAACAAAAAGTATTAAACTTTTGAAAACACTTTAAAAACTTGTAAGGAAAATTGTAGATTATAACTGCAAAAATAAAAAAGGATTCAAAAGAAATTACTATTTATCAATATGTATAAAATGAGAAAGAGAAAGGGAGAAGCATATATGAAACCGTATATCCCAAAAATTTGCCTCTCCTTTCCTTTCCAAAGGCTTTTAGAATATTTTCAAGAAGTTCCCCAAGGTTTTCATAACATTTTCTAATACCTTTCTAATGGTTTCATTAAAGTTTCATCCCCCCTACTGAAACAAGATTGGAAAGAAGTATGCTTCCCAAAAACCACATTTCCCATCAAAATTTTATCTTAGCTGGTTTCTGGTTTCAATGCCAAATCCAAAAATCTCACAGCAGGTCAATGGGTTTTTCCTTTTTAAAAATTAGTCAAGATGCCGCGGGACAATAAAAAAAAAAAAGAAGAAGAAGAAGAGGAAAGTACTGAATATAAGGCATCTCAAATGGAGTAACAAAATTAGGGAAAAGTTAATTGTGACGATCATTTTCACCCCCCAAAAGGAGGAAGGACCGCCAAAATAAAGGGACAAACGAGATATTATTACATACTCAAATTGACTTAAGGACAGGATATCTTGAGATTGAAACCATAAAGGGACAAAGGAGATTATTACATACTCAAATTGACTTAAGGACACAGATCGAAACCCTTCTCTTCCAATTCAAATCAATGATAAGCAAATTCTCAATGAAGGGAACTAGGCAATAACAAGTAGAATGAAATAAATAATGACGCGTCCTAATCACAAGGATCCATACAAACTAACGGTGAGTTCAGGAATCAACGTCTCAAACTAGGGTATAGATATCTAGGAATACCAAAGAATCAAATATTCCCATTTAAAGTTTGGACATGCTAGGAATATGGCTTGAAAAGAAATCCTCACAACCAGTTATTGTAATGTTCGAAGAATCTAAAGTGGAGGAAAGTGATAGGAATTTTATTAAGAGCATTTAGGGAACTAAACATAGGAAATAGGCTTCTTTGCCATCTTGTGGTACATCTGGGGGTATTTTGATTATATGGGGTGAGAGAATTATTTTAGATTGTGAGACTATTATGGGGGAGCTTTCATTATCAATTAGGTTTGGAAAGCATGACAATAATCAATGGTGTTTGATCGTGGTTTATGGCCCTAATTCACCTTCTAGGAGAATGGAATAGTGGGAGGAATTATTTGGACTTTATGGTTGTGCTTTCCAAATTGGTGTGTTTGAGGAGATTATAATGCGGTTAGATTGGTCTAGGAGAAACTTAATGGAACTTCAACTAATAGAGGTACGAGGGATTTTGATTCGTTTATAAGAAAGTGCGTTCTAGTGTATCCTCCTTTGTTTAATGTTATGTTTACTTGGTAACCTCTAGGAAAATCTAGTACGCTGTAGATTGGACCAGTTTTTCTTTTTATTGGGATGGGAAGAGTTTTCCCCGAACTTGAGACAGGTCTGATCATTGTCCGGTGGTATTTGAGAGTTGACCTCTCAAATGGGGGCATCACTTCTTCAAAGATAATTTTAAGATTGGTGGACCAACAATAGGTGTCAAGGATGGGAATGTTTTAAATTTATGAAGAACTTGAAAATGATCAAGGATAAAGTGAAGGAATGGAATGGGGATGTCTTTGGTGACTTGAAGTTCACAGAGAGCGACATTAGTCGTTGACTTGAAGAGGTGGATGCTATTGAGGTTAAGGAGGGTTTGGATGACTCAATGAGGAGAGCAAGGGAGGAGCTAAAATTAAAATTGGAAACGATAATCTTTAGGGAACAAATTTTTTGGGCTCAAAAAGGAAAATTAAAACAGATGAAGGAGGGCGACATTAATTTAAAGTTTTTTCATAAGGTTGCACATGGGAAAATGAAAATGAAATTCATCAAAAAACTTGAGGTGAGTTAAATTGTAATTGTGGAAAGAGATCAAATTGCTAATAAATTTTATAATTTTTATTCAAATTGTACTTGGAAGGGGAGGCGATGAGACCAAGGATTGAAGGCATTAGAGAGGTAGTATTTGATTGTGAGAGAGATAAAGCTTTAGGGTCAGACGGGTTTTCCATGGCAGTTTTCCAAGAATGTTGGGAGGTGGTCAAGGCGGATTTGATGCGAGTCTTTATATTATACACCAATGCATCATTCATATGCTTAATTCCTAAAAAAGAGAACTCATTAAGATTAGTGATTACAAGCCTATTACATCTCTTTATAAGATTGTGGGGAAGGTTTTGTCTAAAAGATAAACGACATATCTGTGGGGGATACTGTCTCTACAATTTAGGGTGCCTTTGTGAAGGGTTGATAAATTTTAGATATAGATTTGGTGGCAAATGAATTGATTGAAGAATATAGGGATTTGAGGAAGATATGTCTCATTTTTAAGATTGATTTTGAGAAAGCATATGATCATGTAGATTGTCATTTTTGGATTTTGTGATGCAAAAGGAGGGATACGAAGAGAGATGGAGGTGGTGAATTTGGAGGTGTCTTTCGACATGAAACATGTCACTTATTGTAAATGGGAAGCTAGGAAAATCCTCTCCTTTTTCTTTTTTATCCTAGTGGCAGTTCTCTTGGGTAGAATAGTTAACGGGGTGAGAGGCATGATTAGTTGACGGTTTTGTGATTGGAATGGACATAATTTGTGTCTCACTTGTAGAATGTGAATGATACCATTTCCTTTTCTTTGGGATAGCACCTTGTCCTCCTTCCTTTTGTACTTTTTTACTTTTCAATGGATATTCTTTGTTGTTGATCAAAAAAAGAAAACCTCATTTTCATCTTTTATATTTGGTTTAATACTATATGTAAACATATAATAGAATCAATTACAAACTAACTTTATCAACAAAAAAATGCTCAAATAGAATGAGAATGGGAATGAGAATACCACCCCACTGTATCATAATGAGAACCCACCATATGAGGTTATCTCATTCAAGTACAAATGGTATTCCCATTATCAAAACTACATGACAAATATGGCGAAATACCTGAGAAGCATGAACTCGGACACACGACCCGACACAAACATGTCAGCATGACAATTTTTTAAAAATACAAAACACCCCACATGGAGTACACACACAAAATATAGAGCTTTATATATTTATTATTAGTCATATATATGAATATATCATTCAAAGATAACAAAATGTAACAAAATACTAGTTCCTATAAATCTACAGTGTTTATGTCTTTAAGTTATTTTGTTCGAACTTTTTAGTAGTTTCATGTGTGTAGTGATGGACACATATGTCCCCCATAGTGTATGAAGAATGTCCGGATATAAAATCATTCAAAAAAATTATAGGACACATTTGGATGAGTGCCAAGAAGTGTTTAATGAGTGACGGAAATGAACATGCCACCTTCTTAAAAGTGTCCGTGCTTACGGCGAAATGGGAATAAGTCCCATTCCCATCCTTGATTAAACAAAAAGACAGTAGAAAGAAAGAACAAAGGGCTCATTTACAATTTTATTAACTATTGTCCTTATTATAGTTGATATTCTGTTTAGTATTTAGTATTCTTTAATATTTACTTTTCCTATTTTATTAGGATTTAGTTTCCTAATTTAATTATGGTTAGTGTTAAAACCTATCACTTACTTCACTCCACTAAACCTAACCCACTACACCACTACCACCTCCACTTCACCTACTCCACCTACCACCTCCACTTTACCTACTCCATCTACCACCTACTACCACCTACTCTTCTATATATAGGAATCATTGTAACATTCAATAAATAACATCAATCAATAATACATCATTTCTAACATGGTATCAGAACAGGTTTAGAATCTAATATTTTCGCTTCCCGGCGGGCGGCAAACTCACCTTAGCTGCCCGCCGGACCTCAATCTAGTCCGCTTATTTTCTACACATACCTTCACTCCGCTGCCAGAAAGTCATAGCTGAACTCTTCTCTGCCTCACACATATTTGTTCATCAATGGCGACATCGAGCCACCATCGTCTCCTCCTCCAAGTCAAAGCATTCAACACTGCAACTGAAAAATATTATGGGGAAAGCCAAGCCAAAAAGAGTAAACATTACCGGGGAAGCAAAGTCAAGAAGAGCAGTTTGGTTGCTGCCAAATTTTGTAAAAAGCAAACCACCAGGGTGTGACTGCAAGAGAAGCAAATGGATTTTGTTTACAAAGATGCTATGAGGTAAGCTAATAGATAGTTTTTCATAATTTGTTGGGCCCACAAAAAAGGTATGGTTTTTAAGGTATTCGAGGCTCGAGCCATGAGTCTCTCCTAAGAGAGGTTCCAAGAAAAAGTAATTCAGGTTAGACCATGGAGTCTTGGATTTCCAACAAAGGTATGGTTTTTAAGGTATTCGAGTTTCGAGCCATGAGTCTCTCCTAAGAGAGGCTACAAGAAAAAGTAATTCAGGTTTAGACCGTGGAGTCTTGGATTTCCAAGGTCTGCGTCACTCTAATACATAGAAAAATAAGTGCAATATAACAATTTGAATAATAAAAAAAGGTAAACCCTATTTAGTCCCCATCTGATGGGGGTCTAGGAGTAGATTGGGTACATTCTACAAACCTAACTTTTGGCATAATTGGCACCAAGTGGCTGCCCTTGGTTTTGAATCCACTGCCTCAAGATTAGTAGGCCAAGTTTCAACCTCAAGATTAATTGAACAATTTTAATAGTATTTCATAAAACAATTCCCCTTTGAAGGCCTGGGACTTCACTAATGAATCTAGAACAGAAGACAAACTTAACAATATTAACAGTTTTGGGTTTCTTTTCCACTCTACATATTAAAAGAAATTAGGCAACTAGTCTGGTGAGCACTTATTCCAACTCTCTGCCTTTTTCCTTTCTTCAAAGATCTACTTTGGATGCAAACCTTTTAAATCTAATTCAGAAATACAATTTTAAGAATGAACACCATTTTGACTTTCCTTATTTCAAAACCAAAATCATCAAAAATGTAAAGAACATTTGCAGCATTTTAGAAGAAGCTTGACTCTCATGCTTATAAATACTCTCCTTCGCTTTTTTAAACAAAAATCAAACTAAAGTCACCATAACAGGAGCTTCTCAAAATTAGACTATAATTACCTTTTCCTTACTAATGTCAGTCTGAGTGTGTGAACCAATAATGACGGTGTTATCAGGGAGTTTCTCAAGTTTGCTTTTAAATGTTGCAAATAATTCTGAATTTCCTACAATGGACTTCTCGGTGTCTTTCACAAACAAAATAAACGGAGAACTTCTGCTCTCACTAAACACAGTCTGAACAAGAAAAAAAAAATGGTGTTAGATGAGAAGCTCATGAATTGGTGATGAGCATAAAACTGACATACGACAGACCCAATTATTCAAACAAAATGAAAACCCCACCTCAAATAACATGTTAATGAGTAACTTGTCCAAATCTTCCACCCCTGTCGTTTCCAGACGAAGATCATTACCTAGAGAGAGAGAGAGAGAGAGTAAGAAATTATGAGAACAAAACATAATTAACAAGGACCTGGGAAACAGAAATTAATAGCACATTAGTTCATTACCATTGCAAAAGAATCCATGACCTCCCTCACATAGGGCCCCAAGGTCAACCCCATCAGGTATGGGTTTATCAAATCTTACACCAATTTTGGACCAAGGATTATCTTCAAAAGGTAGTAGAACCTTTCCTTGAATTCCAAAAGGTGGCCGCCCCCTGAAGGTTTAATTTAAAAGGCATGAACAGCATCAGGATCATAGCAAATTTCACATTTCATAAAAAATAGACAAGAGAGAGGTACAACATAAGCAAATTGCATGTTTAACATGGATTATAAATGCATTGCACCAAATTTGGAAAGAAAAAAAAGTATGTGGGATAATTAGATGTATCTACCCTGAGATTTTTGACAATTACATGTGGACCACCCTCATGGTTTATGAAATCACACTAACTTCCCTTGTTAGAGTTGTAGATTAATAAATATTGACAAACATATACTTTTCACACTTTGGTCCTTGTACAAAATTATAATTCCACAGTAGATGGATCCCGCTATTCTTTCTCCTTTCCCCTCTTGTGACCAAACACTCAAACCAACCAAATTGAATCCATTTTAAGTATTCAATCCAAACAATGTTATTTTGTAACTTAAAAAATTAATAATGTAATTGTTTTGAAGTAATAAGCAAAAAAATTTCCTTTAAATCTTTACTCCAAAATAATACTATTTGTAATTAACTTAAAAATAAACTCATAGTATTCCAAAAAAATACACTCTTATAATTAACTTAGTAGTACATAATCTACTTAACTCCCTCCCTCCCTCCCTCCCTCATGCAAACCACTACCCCCATCTTTCAACATTTCTCACATCACTTCCACTGAATCCTTGACTGCAAGCATTGACAACTCCCATAAAATTGTACCAAAGCATTCACTACAAACAAATCCAACTCGAAATGCCAATACCAGCACTACCAACTTCTTCTCCACCCCATCAACCTCTTTTGTTTTTTTCCCCCCCTTAAAGAAGCACTGCCAACACTTTAATCTAAGATGTCCCAATTTAGATGAAAAGCTTATGTCTTTGTCAACATCTTTGATCCCATCCCCTTCTGGTTTATCTTCTCCAAAATCATCAATTTGTAAAGGAGGATGCATTAGTATAAATTTTGGGCACAAACCAATGGGGTGGCAGTGGAGGCCAACTGTGGGTGCAACCTTTCTGTGTTGTGTGAATAAATCGAATACAATGCTTTTAACAACTATTACCTTCAATAATGTATACCAAACTGAGTGTAACAAAGACCTATAGATGCAACAGTAAAGAAGATTGATATGATCACCATAAATGGGAATGTTATGGGAAGGGGAAGACCTAAACTTACATGGGATGCATCATCAAAAAACATATGAATTTGTTTAATTTAACTAAGCATATACCCTTTGACAAAGAAGAAAAGTGAAAAAAGATTCATGTAGACAACCTGACTTGAGTGGGACACAATGCTTAGTTTGGTTTGGTAATGTATACCAAACTGATGCTACATATAGTTAGGTTGATAATCGTGTATCGATCCACAAGAGACTTTGATACTTTCATTAGGGATTGCGATTTGATTGATCCCTCATTGTTGAGTGTTTCATTTACTTGGTCCAATTTTCAGAAAAATTTGGTTTGCAACAGATTAGACAGATTGTTATTTTCATTGGGTTGGGAAGAGTCATTCCCTAGTGTAAGGCAAAAGGTACTTCCTAGAGTGCTTTGTAATCATTGTCCATTGGTCATGGAAAGCAATCCTCTTAAGTGGGGCCCTACTCCATTTAGATTCGAGAATATGTGGTTGGGTGACCCTTCATCCAAAATGAATTTTAAACAATGATGAGAGTGTTGTAGGATTAATGGATGGCAAGGTTTCAAATTCATGAAATTTTTGAAAATGATCAGGAAAATTAAAGTAGTGGAATAGAGAAGTTTTTGGAGATTTAAGAGTTAAGAAAAGTGAGATTGTGAAAAAGATTGAGGTACTTGACTGTCTTGAATCTAGGGGAGAGTGGATGAGGCACTCATGAGGGAAAGATTGAATTTAAGAAAGTGGTTTATATAGAATCAGTGTAGTGGTTACTAGTGGAGACAATAATTCTAAATTATTTCACAAGGTGGCAAATGACAAGCAAAGCAAGAAAAGAATTAGGCAACTACAGGTAAGGTGGTGAATAGAGAGGATTAGAATGTTAATGAAATCTTTTCATTTTACTCAAGATTGTTTTCTTGGATGGGATTCCAAGACCGAGGATTAAAGGTCTTGATTGGTATTCAATAAGTAGTACTAGTTCTGCTTTGCTAGAAAGACCTTTTGAACAAGTAAACGGAAGTCAAGGAGGTAGTCTTTGATTTAGAGAGACAAGTCTCCAACTCTGGATGGTTTCACTGTGGCAGTTTTTCATGATTATTGGGAGATGAACAAAGGGGGCGTAATGAAGGTTTTTGAGGAATTTTTTGAAAATGTGATTGTCAATGCATGTACAAATGCTTCTCTTTTCTGTTTAATCCCAAAAAAAGTCAACTCCTTAAACATTGGTGATATTAGACCGGTTAGTTTGGTTGCTTCATCGTATAAAGTTTGGCTAAAGTTTTATCTAGAAGATTGAGGGTGGTTTTGGGCAACAGTATTTATAAGAATCAAGGTGCTTTTATAGAGGGCCATAACATTTTGGATGTAGCTTTGATTACAAATGAAGTGGTTTTGGAGTATAGAGCCAAGAATAGGGAAGGGGTGATTTTTAAAGCCAATTTTGAGAAGACTTGTGATCATGTTGAATGGGAATTTCTGGATTTTGTTTTGGTGAAACCAGGTTTTGGCGAGAGATGGGGAAAATGAATTTATGTTGTCTTGCTTCATCCAATCTCTCGGTTCTATTGAATGGGAAACCAGGGAGAACTTTTGAAGCTTCGAAGGGTTTAAGGTAAGGGGATCATTTATCTCTATTCTTGTTCACCGTAGTTGTTGACGTGCTGAGTAGGATGGTTGATACGGCACTCGAGGCATTTATTGGACAACTTTGAGATAGGAAGAGATCGTGTCTTAGTATCACGCATACAATTTGCAGACAATACCATCTTTTTCCTTCAGGAGAGGAGAATAAAATGGTGAATTTGTGTTCCATCATTTTTGTTTGAAATGGTTTTTGGGATTAACTTGAAGAAGAGTACATTAGTGGGGAAATCTTTTGCATGATAGGTTGAGTAGAATGGCGGAAATCATGGGATGCCCAGTTGAGTCTTTACCAATGAAGAATTTAGGCTTGCCCTTAGCAAGGGATCTGAAGAGGGAAGACTTTTGGGCACTAGTCTTGAAGAAGATCGGAAAAGGATTGGATGGGTGGACGAAGGCATTCATTGGAGAAGGAAGACACAAGCATCTGGTGGGTCACATTGTTGAAAAGAATATTGCATTGCTAGATAAATGGTTATGGAGGTTTTCGAGAGAAAGTCTTCATGGAATGTAGTTATCAAGAGTATGTTTGGGCTCCAGGCTAAGGAATGGTATTCGAATGTGGTGCAAAGGGGGGCCTATTGTGCTCCTAGAAATTTATCTCACATGAACTTGCTAGGTTCTCTCAATTCAAAACGTCTTTTTGTTGAGAATGTGGAATTCAATTGGTTTCGGGGGTATCCTTGGAGTGGCCATTTTTCAGTTATTCCCTCGCTTGTATCGGACATCTAGATCTCATAATGCTTCTATTGCTTCCAAGGTGTCCTCTTCTTCATTTTCTATCTTGTGGAATTTTAAGTTTTTTAAGAAATGTTAATGATTGAGAGAAGCTTTGGTTGACAATTCTTGAGAATGTTTCTTTGTCTTATTTCTCTCTTGATAGGTGTGGTGGCCATTCATTTGTTTTCTTGTAAGTCCCCTATTTTGAGAAGCTGATGGATGTAGAGTGCAATGGAAGAAAGAGAAGGGAGGAAGAAGAGGGCCACAACCTTTAACACTCAAATTCTCATTAATCAAAGCTATCTATTAAATTGCAAAGACCTCAAATATATAGACCACGAAACCCTAATTCAATATAGTAAACTAAATCATAATATGGACTATGAATAAAACTTAACTTAGGCAACTAAATCCCCAAATATAAGAAATCAAATATTATTAAGATCCTAATGAACTATAAAATAAATAAAAAAATAAAGTATTAAAGACATAAATAAATAAATAAAATCTCCATAAGCCCCCATGAATATTTTGCATCATTCTCCCCAACTAAAAAGAAGAACTTTTCCCCGAGTTCCTCTTTAAATACTGAACTTGGCCATGCCAACAAATCAAATATTTCAAATAAGCCAATTATTTGATTTTATCCTTGTTCCAACTAATCAGTTTGATCAAGCTATTGATGAGCCCCAACACGGGGTAAACATGCAAAGAAAATCCTTAATACCAACAGAGTCAATCAACTCTATCTTGATAAAATAATCGGTTGGAGGCACGTCCAAAGGATTTGACAAGTGAGTGTGCCTTAATCTTCAAGAACTTCTTTATGTAGGATCACTGTCTTCAGGAGCGGCTTCTTGAACTTCCGGATTTTCTTCCAAAATAGGTTCACTTACCTCGGATGTTGGAACGACTTGATCAACAAAGTCCACATGTTCTTCACTAGCACTTTGAGAAAATCTTGAATTTTCTACCAAAAAATGGACCACCAAGTTATCCAAAGTTGATTGGATTTGGAACAATTGAGTTGACATTTGGTTGTGGGAATTTCTTTTAGGTCTTGGTGGGAATTTCTTTTAGGTCTTGATGGAAAGCATCCAAATGTGAATATACCTCTGCATTAGTTACCAAGATTAAAGGGGTCAAAGGGCTTCTTTTTTTTTTTTCCCTGAATTTTTTGGCTGGGCTCAACTCGGATTGGTTTCAAAGGTTTGAGATAGCAGTGTAGAGTTTAGCTCAGTCCAATCCGATAAATTTGGATTGATTTTTTGAATCCGTGGTTCAGTTCCGGATTGAAGAATTAAAAATCTATAGTCCACGGATTGGTTTCGGATTGAACCCCACGGTTCAGGATTGGAACCGATCCAGACCATATGCAAATAGTGTATATTTTTATTATATATCTTCCCTCATAGTATCTTCTCTTATTCTATATAAAACCTAAACTCAAACCTAAATCCGTATAATATCTTTTTTTATTACTTTTATTTGTTAGTTTTTAGTTTTAATTTATAATGGTCTAAATTTTTATGGTGAAACCAATTTTCTTATGGTTGTTTAAATTCTAGAACAGTATGTCGCTATTATAGAAAAATATGTTGCTATTGTGGAACTAATATAGCGCTATGTTTATGTTTTTATGAAATTAAAATGTTCTATATATATTTTTTTGTTATTTAATTATATGAATCCGTGATCCTAAACCGATCCAATCCGTGTTTAAATAAGCTGGTTCGGATTGGTTCCATGATTTAAATGGATTGGATTGGTTTTAATTTTTTAGGAACCGTAGATAACGGATTAGTCCTGATTTTACCTAAATCCAGTCCAATTTTACCTAAATCCTGTCCAATCCGGACCATGCTCACCCCTAGTGTAGATGTAGGTTAGTTGGGCTAGATGTGGTTTGGGCATAGGGAAGAAGTATGTGGTTGGGCTCTTTATTTTTATTTATTTATTTTTATTTTTTCTTTTCTTTTTTTAATAAAGTGTACCTGGGCAGAACAGGGTGATATAGCCTGATTGGGGTGACCTGGGTGTTTGGGTTAGATGCTAATTTAAATAGGTGAGCTTTGGGCCACATTTAAGGCTTAACAGTGGGCTGGATTTGCTTGAAGTCTACCTGGGTTTAGTTTGGGTTTATTGGGTTTGGGCTGGTCTGAGGTTGGGCTAGAGTTGAGGTTTAAGTGGCTGGATTTGGGTTAGATCTAGCTGGTAATTTTTGGCACAGGTGCTTGTGGCTTGGTTTATTGTGGGTTATAAAGCTGGTAATTTTTGTTTGTTTGTTTTTTTTTCAGTCTTCTCCTAGAGACAATGCGAAGAACCCACCTGCAAAGGTGAATCGCAGCAGAGAGAATGGGAGGAGACTGACAGAGGCGATGACAATGTGAGACAACTGGAAACGGTGATCGCGGGTGACGGTGACAGTTGTGACTGTGTTGATGATGGCCATTGCTGGCGACGGAAGGCAATGGCAGTGATGGAATTTTTTGGTAGTGTGACAATGATAGCGAGGCAATGATGGAGTGAGCCCGACCAAGGCTGGTCAAGGCAGTGAGAGAGAGACCAGAGGCAAAAGGGATCGGAGCTTCTGCTCTGATACCAAATTGATGTAGAGCGCAATAGAAGAAAGAAAAGGGAGGAAGAATAGGGCCACAACCAACACACGGCCACAGCCTTTAACAGTAAAATTCTCATTAATCAAAGCTATCTATTACACTGCAAAAACCTCGAATATATGTCACAAAACCCTAATTTAGGCCAAGTTTGGCATCCTCAAAAAAATCCAAAAAGTCAAAAAGTCACTATCCTATTTAAGTCACATCATCTTATTTAAGTCATATCACCTCTCTAACACATCACTTCAAACCCAACCCAAATCCAGCCCATATTTCATAAAAAGTCAAAAAGTGCACTTATTTAGTCTTCCCAAACTTGGCCTTAATATAGGAGACTAAATCATAACATAGAGTCTGCATATAACTTAATTAACTTGAGAAACTAAATCCCCAAATATAAGAAATCAAATATTGGGGGTGTTTGGAAAGCTGAGTTTGAGGATAAAATAGCCTCAAACTAAAAAAAAAGAAAAAAGGCCCAAAAGCCCCTAAATCAATACTTAAAAAAAAAAAAAAAAAAAAAAAAAAAAAAAAAAAAAAAGAAGCTGAAACGGTGGGCTGTCACAGTGACAGTGTATACCACTGTCACCATTGACAAGTTGTCCCATTATTGGTAAATGACGATTTTACCACTTTATATTAATTTTGAAAAATGTGGGATTAGGGATAAATTTGTCATTTTAACTTTAAACATCATTTCAACACATTTTTCAATATAACACCTCAAATAAAAATCCATCACATCTTCTCAAACACAAAAACTAAAATAGCCTATTAAAAAAATTAAAAAGCCTCTAAAATAGCCACTTCCCAAACACCGACTTTATTAAGATCCTAATGAATTATAAAATAATAAACTATTAAAGACATCATAAAATTATGAGACTGTAAATAAAGTCTCCACGAGCCTCCATGAATGTTCCAAATCACTGATTGATTCTCCAAATGTTTATTTCTTTTCCTCCTAACAACATGGTCTGGGATGCTTCCTTGCTCCTTAAGGTTAAAGTGTCTATAACTGGCTCACAAGAAGCTTAATACTAATGGCATGATCCAGACAAGGCAGCCTAATTGTTACTTGTTCCCACAATGGTGTGTTATGTGTAGGAGGTTGAGGAAAACATGGATCATCTTTTATTGCATTGTTCCTTAGCTATTTTCTTATGGTGGAATTTTTATTTGGCAGAGATTAGCATTTGCTTTGCATTGACTTTAAGACCATGTTTGTTTGAGCGAACTGGATTAGCATTTTCATGACTAATAGTCCTAGGATTACGAATCCGTTGGATTATATATCCTATCTTAACTAATAGTCAAGTTTAAAATAATTAGTCCGTACTTCAATTGTTTAACCAAACATCGGATTAATAATTTTATTGGACTATTAGTCCAATCCCAAGCTCATATCCACCCAAACAAACATGACCTAAGGAGTTTGTATCAAATGACAAGGCACATGATTTATGGAAATGTGTGTTCGGATTTTATGACTCGAGATGAATGCTAGAGGTTTTTTAGGAAATAATTTTTTTGGGAGGCCTCGTTTTGGTGTCAGTGGCTCCTCCTTTGAAAGTGGTTCCAGGGATTGGAAAGCGATTTGTAGAATGTGAGATTGTATTTTCCTTTTCTCTTCTTTCTTTTTTCTTTTCTTGGTGGACTTCTTGTCCTCCTCCTCTTGTACTTTTTCTTGCTTCTTTTAATAAAATCTTTTCTTCTTGTTGGAAAAAAAAAAAAAAACAGATGCAGATGAAAACAGGTCCTTGTAAAATTATACCTTGATGGAGATGATGTTGAATATAAGCTTCCAGAAGAAGAACCGACGAATCTCACTCTATCACCTACAAGTTTCATGATTTAATTCAATTAAAAATAGTTCAGCCAATGTCAAAGATATAATAACGGTTACAGTATACTAGAGAAGGTTGAAAAGTGAACTACGAAGGCGTCCCTGGCATGGAATCAGATGTGAAATACCTGTTTTAAACAAAGGACTCTTAGATGTCCCAAAAGAAGAGGGTACAGTGTTATTCTCCATTTTTGGTTGGGACTCCAGGCCACAAGAAGGAACATTTGACAAGATGGGCGTATCTACCTCAGTTGCTGAAGGACCCATGCCCTTAGCGAGCTCAGTGGCTCCAACACTTGGCTTGTTAATGTTGCAGGATTTATCTGCATTATATCCCTCTTTCCGTAACTCTGCTTCCTTCGATAAACCCTAATAACATCTAAACAAGTCAATAATAAGAACAACCAAAACAAGCTATAACAAGAAATGATCCTCCATATGCCACATGATGCAAAACTTATACAAAGAAGATGATATTCTTGTATCAGAGTCAATTCCAGAGATTTATATCTTACACCCAGAATTGAATGTCTATCAAAAATAAGCAATTTAGCCCCAAAGTATCTGGCAAGTGCCTTTGCCAACATCTCCTGGTATATCTCAGACCCTGCCCAAAAAACAATATCAGAACTGAAACTAAACCCTTACACAGCATTTCTTAAACAGGACAAATTACAACCCCCAAATAAATTGAGAACTTAAAAATACTCACAAACCTGCAGGACCAGAGAGCAAAATCCTCGGGTTCATGGCAGAAAGTTCAAAGGTATATTTAACTTGTTCTCTGTGTTTGAAATGTATATACAAAGGTGCAATCAACACATTTTTTGTGTTTTCACTGCGAGAGGGGAAGAAAGTATAAAAATGTTAACATATTAATAATGTTCCATTCAGGATTAACAATCATCAATGCACCATTCAGCAGTCAAAGAATGGACATAAGAAATCAACAACCATGGGTGTTCACAGAAAGAAAGCAACCACTTACCAATGGCCATATTCATTTATGTAGATTAATATGCACAAAGAAGTAGCACATAATAAAAATCATGAAATATCAAAGAATAAACAACATATAAAAGAAATCAAATAAGATGGAAAACAACAATGTTATAGAATTGTTTTGACAGCGAAACCTAGAAGTTTGTAGTTAAACTTTTGTTATGTGTTTAAAAATACCTAAGTGGTCAATCTGATGTGTGCATACACTTTGAAGTTTGAACATTATTAAAAATTATTAAAAATGCATAACACAAGCCGCATAGTTTAGTAGGATGAGGTACAATTGAAATTTGCCAATCTCAAGGGGAAAGGGATGTAATGTAACAATAAAAAGAATGTTGCTTTCTATAATTTCATAGGAAAACTTCAAGATACAAAATGCCACCACCAAGTCCAACAAACATCAGCAAAAAAATGCGCCCCCCCCCCCCAAAAAAAAAAAAAAAATTTATTAAATTACTTATACTCAATGTAGCCATATATATAATGTCTAAAATATTGTTTTTCATTGAGTTTAATGACTAAAATGTTTTTTCTCCCGTTACTTTTACTTATAAAAAATAGGCTAATAGTTTAGATTTAAAATAAATAAAAAATAAAAAATAAAAAATTTTGAATTAATTTTGTTATAAGGGTTCAATCCTGAGTTTTATTTATTTATTTATAATTTCCCCCAAAAATTTATATTTTCTGAACCCTTGTCTTAGGAATGTCCTGGGGGACATGGAGTCCGGCCGGACATGGAGTCCGCCGGACTAAAAAAAATCAAACGACGGATAAGGTGCACTGTTTGGATTACAATCCAAATAGTGGATAGTCCCCCCTCCTAATCCCCCAA